AAAATGTTCACTCCTGAACTTATTTAGGCTTGCCATAACAAAGGGGTTGAATACCTACTGACTCAAGACATTTCAGATTTTAATTTTGAATACATTTGTAAAAATGTCCCCCCAAAAATATTCCACTTTGATATTATTGGGGTATTGTGTGTAGGCCAGTGACAAAAAAATCTCAATTCAATCAATTTTAAATTCAGGCTGTAACAACAAAATATGGAAAATGTCAAGGGGTGTGAATACTTTCTGAAGGCACTGTATATCCCCCTATCTCCATCTCTACCCCTTTCTCTCTGTTCCCTCTTTCTTTTAAGGCAACAGTCTGGACTAACCAGATGTTTATCTGTGGTGGCATCACTGAGACACAGAGCTAAAATGAAAATAATTACAGTTGGGCACAAGTACACACAATCAGTGTGGAATTGTGAATGGTTCATTCACTTTTTTCCTCACACTGACTTGTGTTGTAAGCAAAATAAAAAACTGTCAGGTCATCATGGTCAGGCCATCATCATTGGATAAGGCCTCGTCAGAGAGGGCAAGCTACTTGTCACTCAGAAGTAAAAGCAATGCTCGTCAGATACAGAGATTATCAGTGTAGACACAGATGAGCCAGTTTCCCCAGAGGCTGGCTGGAGAATAAAGCGCTTTTATGCAACTGGAGGAAAGATATTCTCCAAAATGTCAGTCAGTGCAATGGTCATATAGGTATGGTCAAATAGCACCATACCTGTGATGAGATTGGGACTGGACTGGAGGCAGGCTGTTGTGTCATTGCTATGACAGAGTTGTGATTATATAAACAGGGTTCATGTAAAGGGTCAACTGCTGAGTCTCTCAGGTAGATATGAGCACTAGCTAGTCCCGGTCAGCCGACCTCATCCCGAGTGAACTATACAAGTGCGTTGCCTATGGGGTCATTTGCAAAACAACATAAATACACACAACAAAACTTTTGATGAGTTTTTGCTTAGCCCTATAATACCTTTGGGTTTATCCCATCATTTCATTGATGAGGTAACCAATAACGTAATCAATATGCTGATTACACAAGGAAATTATATATCCACCACCTTTTGTTAACTGCATAGCCCAGCAAAGGCAAAGGTTACTTTTCTCGTCTCCCTGAATCTCCAGCAGACACAGTTTAAGCAATTGAGGACACCACTTTAACAAACAATACTCGTGCGACCAGCAATATGTACGCCAGCCTAGATAAATACGAGCCCACAACAAACCAATAAGGGAGGGAGAGCGCACGAGATGCAGCAGGGCGCTGAACCGCCTGCGATGCAAACCAATGGACCAATTTGGAATTGTTTTCCGACGTTCTCCTCCGATCACACCTGCATAGGCTACTTATTGGCACATTCACCTTCCTAGATAGACTACTCACCGTGGTTGAACATTGTTGTCCTAAACCGGTTGTTGGAAGACGAATTTTCCATTTTGCAATTGCAGTAGGAAGGAACACTATGCCAAAACTCTTCAATCCTCCGTTTGGGGTTTACGCGGTGTGTTTATTGTGCAGGACAACGAGGATTCTGAGAGGCTTGCGACCCACCTACCCTATAATAAATGGTGCAGAGGCAGCTCCACTTCGTCTTCCACGGCTGTTCCTTGCACCGCTGCCTATTCTAAAATGCAACAACACTGAATGGCAGCTTCTGTGTGAAGCGATTTTAACAGCACACTGTTCCGTAGCAGTGCTGCCCAGCCAGACTCACCGTGACGTCACGCGGCACAGCCCGCACCACCATCGGAATGAAAACAATCGCACATGGATGCGCAGGGTGGATCAAATATGGTCACGTGTGCCTGAGAAACGTACCCTTCCTTCTGCAGGGAGGGAGATTGCATTGTCCATTTTGCATTCATTACATAATAAGAGAGTGTAAATGTAGGTTAGGCTATACTAGCCTGACTGTTCGATTCACACTAACTTCTTCCATGCTCTGTTGTTCGCTACATACGAAACTAACGTCCGTGGGCGTGGCATAGCGTTCGGCGGGAGCAAGGAGTTTGGGTAGCCAGGCAAAGGCTATTAGGTTTACATGAATGTCTTATTTTGAATAGTCTATTGACATTTTATAATGACTGCTTCTTTATAAAAAAAAAATTATATAATGAATAGTAAATTACTTAATTATCCTTCATTCATTATCCCATTAATCAATCAATCACAGCAGCTCACCAGGAACCTGATTACTGTAGCTGAATAAGATGTGTTAGAGCAGGACTGGAACAAAAGCCTACACACTCAGTGGCTTTCCAGGAGGAGGCTTGGCCACCTCTACTGTGTAGGAAAATATAACTTGTTGGTTGAAGAGTTAATTCTTGAGCGCAAAAGTAAAATTCATTCATTACAATACTGAAGTCATACAGTAGCCTACTTAACGTCAGTGAGAAAATTAAAGTATTGCACTGAGGAGGTGATGACTGCTTGAGTTGTAGCATCATCATCATCTGGGGTTGATGGGATGAAAGGTGGGTCCTCCAGATCTGCCTGTCCTCCACTGCAGACACAATCTCCTCCTCCTCCAGTAGTACTTTTTTGTATAGTAGTCATATCAAATGTAATGTATATTTTAAAGGATATAAACAATTATACAATAAATCACACACTGATAAATTACACACAGGTCTCTGATTTCATTAAAGGAGCAACACGTTTATTCCAGCTGTGATTAAATACAGTGGTCTCCTAGGGATCTCAATGTTCACGTTCAGGGTTAAAGTGCAGAATAGTTCACAGCTTGTGTCGTTTTTTAAAAAATAAGACGAAAATAAAATGAACCATAATCCCTAAGATATAAAACATGATGATGGAGAAATATGGAAAATATAAATATGATATAGAACAAGAGGAAAATCTCATCATAATAAAACAAAATATCAGCAATGATGTTAAATCCATTCATTGTCATCAGCCTTGCACTTGAATTATATACAAAAAATATGTTCAAACAAACACGTTTCGAGTCAAGTCGTTGGCAAGGCTAGCTTTAAAACAAAGGCACAGCATATTGTTCAGCGGTAAGGATCCTTTGCAAAGAAGTGCTGTGGACAAACACATGCTTGACAATAATGTGGCTTTGACATACATGGTGATACATATGTACAAACATGGCAACGTCCCATACATACTTCAATTGAATTCCCATACATGCCCATTGATAAACACATTAATAGAAGATGTGCATAAGACAGATATTTTCCGTACTGATTTATACATTGACAGGTAGGTAGAGGACTGCATGCTCATTGGAGGCTAATTGTACTACTGTGATTTTGGTGATTGAATAGGCCAGTAAGTATACCCTTTTCACACTACTGAGCCGAACCGAGCCGAGCCTTGACAAGTCAAACGGATGTGTACTACACTGGCCTTGTTTCGCGTCCACCCTAGTTTCTGGAATCGTTCTGGAAAGGAAGATATCTAGCCAGCTCAATACGGTTCAGGTCGGCACAATAGTGTGAAAAAGGCACCGCACAAGTGCTCTCTTTTGATGACAGACTAACAGTGGTTTAGCCCTCTCTGGACATCACAGTAAGGTGAAGCAGTCAAGAAGACACAGAACTTAATTCACAAAGGATCGGTCTATAGGCAGCAGACAGACCATGGTTATCTCATCCTCTCTGTAGCAAACTAGAAGAATTTTAAATAACAAGGCTGAATTGTTTGGACATTTAGAAGGTAGGCCTGTGAGGTATCTCTTTTGAACCCCTCAAAGTTGCATGTACCATGTTTTTAAAGTTGAGCATATGTCTGAAATGTGAACCAAGTTAGACACAGACATGCTATGACATTAGAGTTATCTAATAATCAATACCGGCAGGCATCAGAATGGCCACCTAACTCTAGTTTGCTACGAAGAAGGAAGAATTTCCCAGGACACATGTTTACAATTGAATTGAAAGGCTCCATCAGTGACTTGCATTCATATTATCAACCAACGTCATTTTAGTTCTTTATCACAAGTAACCCAAAATTGAAAGTGCAAATCAAAGTACTCAAATCTATACAAAAAGATTTCAGTCATTATATATAAAAAGAGATGCTGTTTTTTTTCTTTGTTTCGTCTTTTTTCCTGTCTCCTTTGTCTGTACACTCTTTCCTGACTATTTCTTTCTTTCCTTTTGTCCTTTCAATCACAATTTTCGTTTTAAAATGAAAAGAATAGCTTGGTTTTACAGCAGAAGTGATCGCAATAGCAAGTACACCATGCAGCTCTTCTTCTAGTGGAAAAGAGGGAGAATAGAAACATTTTGGATGGAAAAAGAACACGCGTGAGAGAATGAGTGACAATGTGTTCAAGGGAAAGATTGACATACAGTGAAATAGATTATTTTCAAGAGAGTGAGGTATGAGATGCATAACGACAGACATATAGATATTATTTACAGCCAGCAGTTTGTGTGTAAACAGAGGGCCTTCCATAGGGAGCTCCATGTCGAGGAGACTAGGGTTGTGACGAAGTTTGTCTCCATGTACTGTAGGACAGAGAGAGGCTTGTGGTCAGACAGACACTATGATGTGACTGCCTGGCTGTCTCCAACTTCCACAACATATATATCCTGCTATGGATGACTAAAGAGCTCTATAGTAACAACTAACGAATTATCCTCAATTTATTTTGAGAGGAATAAATGGTAAATGTGGCTTGGCATAGAATGCCAAACTCCATAACCACAGAGTAGTTATATCCAAGGTCATAGTCAGGGCACTCTCTGGATTCTAGACCAGATCAAAGGCTGCTGTAAACAAAATAACTTGATATGCAGAGAGGAGACGACGGGAGTAAATGGGACACATCATGTGAGAGTGCTTACACTTACTGTGATGGTCGGTAGGGGTGAGCTAGGACCCTAAGATGCTGTCTTACTTCGTATTAACTTCCTAAGAGTCCCCTATCACTGTCTCTCATCATGGCAACCTGAGACAGGAAGTCATCATCCCTGTCAAAAGTGATCTGCTCCATATCAGCTACTACTGCCTAACTTTTCTTTTTCTTCTTCTTCTCCTTAATTTCAACAGGTAGCTCAAGAAAAATATGGCAATGTAGCATACATTAGAATTATACAAAATATGTCTGTACATTTACAATATTTAAAACATTTACAATATGATAATATCACCGGCTATATACATTGGGTGGGTTGAGTTTGAATACATGAGATTTCACCTCGACGTGACTGAGATAAGGAAAAAGAGAGTAATAAACTAATATGAAATGGAAAAATGTACCAAAGGTATGAAAGAAGTTTACCTCAAAGTCAAGTCAGTGCTACACAGTGAGAGAAGGGACACGGTCAGTCATGGACCATATGTTTGACACTACCAGGGACATCACTTTAAGAATGCGTCCCAAATGACACCCTATAGTGCACTAATTTGGTAATCCCTTTGGGACCTGGTCTTAAGCAGTGCACTATAAAGGGAACAGGATGCCATTTGTGACACAACTGTCACCAGTAGAGGGGGATAGGAGGAGACAACAGACAGGGCTTACTGGACAGGGCTATTTACAGTCATGCAGTGTTTAAAAAGCTTTTTGTTTATGCTCAAAAGCCTTTGCTCGATTATATTCTACATCTGGACTGTGTGTGTGCGTTTTGTTTTATCCACATAAAAGGCCCCTTCCTTTAGCATTTCAAAAAGTGGTTTTGATATCATCAAATCAAACCAAACCAAAGTCACACAGAGCAACACTTTTCAAACACATGTTGTTGCACAAATACTCAGGAGGAGGGTCCCCTACCAATGAGGCTGAAGCATCTTTTCTGCTTTTCTGTTTTAGAGACGTCCGAATATACTTGAACACCATCTCAATAAGATAAAGATGACATGAGTGTTAAGATGGATGACTTCACAGCTGGGATTGACATACTGATAGCTAGCAGTTACCAGACTGACATTCAGCTAAGGTAAAGCAATCATGAGACTGAAGCTATGGTAGTGGTAATTGCAGTCTGAGTGAGTCTCTCTTAGTTGGAGTTGAATGAGTGAGTGCCTTTAGGCAAGGCTGGCTTTTCCCATCCTCGGTTCCCCCTGAGTCTATACAGCCCATCGACAGCCCACTATCAGCCTATATGACCACTGTGACTGCTGTGGCATGAGGAGGTACGTACAGAGCTCCTGCCCCACCCCTGCCTGGACAATGCAATGCAACTACTCCATTACCAGAGGTACAGTAGGCTCTACTACCCTCCTCAATGACCACCATAACCCCCTCTCTCTGCCTACTCTCATGGGCTGAGACCAGCAGCATTCCTCTCTGTTACGGATCCCTTCTACTCCGGAGTCTCGGGGTGCGGGGGCAGGCCGTTCTCGGACCGCATGGCGGTGCAAGCCATGGTGGGGACGGTGTGGTTTCCCCAGAATGCTTTGTGTAGCGTGTCGAGCTCGGACACCACCGGTAAGCGGATCTCCAAGTTCATCTTCAGGTTCTCTAGCCACCCCTGCAGCTTGGTGAAGGCGGGGCTAAAGACAGAAGAGCCAATCAGTCTTAGGCTAGTGATGTCAACCTAGATCACATAAGTCAGTTACCGTGGCAGCAATGGGACAGGAGACTTATAATAAACCAACACTCAACATGTATAGTATTATCAAACAATGAAAGTTAGAATACAGTTTACACTCATAAGTAACTTTATAGACAAATACTTGGAAAAGTGTTCCTGTATACATAATCCGTGTACAGAAAGTAAACTTAGTGAACTAGTAAACTAGTGATCTACACCCAATAAATCTCACACTGCATGGTGATACATGACTCAGGTCAGTGTCAGACTACACACTCACCGTTTCTCAGCATCCAGGTCACAGCAGAGGACAGCCATGGGGAAGAAGGCTGGGGGGCAGTCTGGAGGACAGAAGTGCTCTAAGAAGCCTGTCACATTCAGCCCAAAGTCATGGGCCCTGGGCAAGTAGTCTGGGTCTGCATTCACCCTACCGATGATCTGGAAGGGGCGGGAGAGAGAGAGAGGGAGAGCGAGAGGTTCACAGTAAGGAAAGGGCAAAAGGCGCTGTTGTATATGCTAGGGCAACCACCTGTCAGGGGCACTCACCTCACAAAGCATGATTCCGAAGGAAAAGATGTCCACCTTTTCATCGTAGCTTTTCCCTGTGAGAGAAGACATTCCAAGTAAAACTTGAGGCTATTGGTTTCAGAGTACTGACATAATGTATTACAGTATATGGCGTTGAAACATCTGAATAATTCCATGGTTGAGTCATTCGATTTAAGTGCAATTTAAGCAATGGTGGTTAAAACAGGTCGACCCTGTACCAGTGGTGTAAAGTACTTGAGTAAAAATACTTTAAAGTAGTACTTAAGTCGTTTTTTGGGGTATATGTACTTTACTGTACTATATATATATATATATTTGTGACTACTTTTACTTTTACTTCACTACATTCCTAAAGAAAATAATGTACTTTTTACTCCATACATTTTCCCTGACACCCAAAAGTACTTGTTACATTTGAATGCTTAGCAGGACAGGGAAATGGTCCAATTCACACACTTATCAAGAGACCTTTACTCAAGTAGTATTTTACTGGGTGACTTTCACTTTTACTTGAGTCATTTTCTATTAAGGTATCTTTACTTTTACTCAAGTATGACAATTGGTTACTTTTACACCACTGCCCTGAACACACACCCATGCACACACGCACACACGCCTACACACACACCTACATACCGTGGATCATCTCCGGGGCCATCCAGTAGGGGTTGCCCACTACAGTGTATCTCTTCCTGCGGTCAGGCTTCTTCTGCAGGAGACTCTTGTCCTGGATCTTGTCTTCCACCATCAGCCGAGCCAGCCCAAAGTCTGCCACCACTACACTGTTATTCTACAGGGAGACAGAGGACACACAGACAGAGTCACATCTACTGCATCACAATACTTAGAATATAAAACACCCTGCAAACCTACCTACAAGACTATACATCTTACCACAGACATAAAGACACATGCCAGATAGAGAGAGAGAGAGAGAAAGATAGAGAGAGCACACTCAACAACATAGAGGAATAAAGAGAGTGAATACTATGACTGTTGACTTTGAGAGGTAAAAACACAGACAGATAGGAAGACAGTGTGTCAGTGAGATAACAACATCTGTCAATACAGAACACTACAGAGAACCCAGACCAGCCACTAGCTTATTCAGGTTCAATAAACCCTATCAGATCTCCTGGTTAGTGTTTATTAAATACTATACAGGACACAGGAACCCTCATCCTGGTCTGTTTATCTAATACTGTAGGACACAATATCTTTATCCTTTGTTTTCTTCAAAATTGACATTTACCTGAAGATGCACTTGGAGATTCGCTACAGGAGTAGAGATATTTTCTACCCTCTATTTGAACACGTCTAGGTGAAGAAGTGTATATGACGTCACTACTCCTGTAAGGCCTCTGATTTAAGAAGGGCGGCTCTACATTTACATCATTCAGCAGACGCTCTTATCCAGAGCAACTTCCATATTGGTGCATTCACCTTATGATAGCCAGTGGGACAACCACCTTTTTTTCTTCTTTTTTTTTATGGGGGGTGGGGGAAGAAGGATTACTTTATACTATTCGAGGTATTCCTTAAAGAGGTAGGGTTTCAAGTGTCTCCGGAAGGTGGTCAGTGACTCCGCTGTCCTGGCGTCGTGGGGGAGCTTGTTCCACCATTGGGGTGCCAGAGTAGCGAATAGCTTTGACTGGGCTGAGCGGGAACTGTGCTTCCGTAGAGGTAGGGGGGCTAGCAGGCCAGAGGTGGATGAACGTAGTGCACTCGTTTGGGTGTAGGGTCTGATCAGAGCCTGAAGGTACTCTACTGTGCAGTACTTTACCCTAACAAAGGATTCTCTGTGTCTAATGTCAATAAATCTCCATTGTCAAATCTCTCTCAATGGGAGACAAACCTGTATGTGATCTAGACATACAGGTGCAAACTCTTAATTCTCAAAGAAAACACACACCCTTTAGAGAGAACACACCTCACATCTCTTTACTCACCTCTCTGACAAGACAGTTGTCTGAGTTCAGGTCGCGGTGGATTATGTTCATGGAATGCAGATATGACTGGAAGACGGAGAGAAAGAGCGAGGGATGGAAAGAGAGTGATAGAGAAAAAAAGAAAACAAGAGTTAGGTATGAAGCCTAAACCTCAAACCAGTGTCTAGTGGAACAAATGCACATTGTTGTTGCTCCTTCTCTCAAACTCTTGGCAGAGTATAGCCTTTATACATTCACAAATCTACAGTCATGTGCTACATTCATCACTGTAAAACCTAATCAAAGGCAACACACTATGACTACCCATGATGCCCTAATCCAGAAGGAATTCAAGGTGTAATTTTAATTTAGGGAAAATCTGTTACACGTGACCAACACTGCTGTTACACTTCCTCTAGATCGCCACTGGAGGGCAGTGTGAGCATGGTTAGTTTGACTGCACCGTGTCTGTTATTCTATTGACCACCACTGCACTGCAGTTTCTCTGATTGCAGCAGTGAACCCATGGTGCCCTGGTCCTGAAAAGACCCACAGTGGCTTCTGATTCTATCTGTTCTTGGTTTCATTCTAGAGGCATTCTATACATTCTATTAGGCATGGATAATTCACTCACCATCCCTGCAGCGATGTCTTTAGCAAAGCTCACTCTCTGGTTCCATGGGTAGTTGGTGTCCTGTTAGTAAGACAAAAAAAGGATAGAATCAGACTCTGGATGTTTCACAGAACATAAACACCAGTGATTAAAACTAAAGAGAAGCTCTCTAATCCTAATCCTGTATCCTCTGATGACTCTGAGACACAATGTACAAAACGCAACTATGCACTCATGGGGACACAAAGCCACCCAACCGCACACACACAAGCTGGTGCAGTGGCACACCCACAAAGTACTAAAATCCCACACAGACAAACAGACACACAGCACCGGTACCATTTTCTTGATGATCTCCCTCAGGGTTCCTCCTTTGATATACTCTGCGATGAAGTTGAGTCTCTTGTCTTTGTAGAGGACACCGATGAACTTCAGCACGTTGGGATGCTCCAGACAACGCATCACCTTCACCTGGAGAGGGAGGAGGGTACACCTTTTAAGGCTTGGAAGTTATTTTAGGTTTAAATGTTAGTTTTTTAACCCCTATTTAGAGCTAGGAGCTGTCCTAGTCCTGACTCCTCGTAAAGATCTATCATCTAGGAGCTGCAGGGAGTGGTTGTGTTGTGTGGGTTTAGTAAAGGTAGTAGTTAGTTAGATGAACTGGGTGGGAAGCTAGATATTAGTGTAAGACCTAGACCTCCATGTCTCCTGCCCTGAGGGTCTCTGTGAGATGGACATTCCTCCTTCCAGACTTTGATTTGAGTCTATAACCATTTCCTCCTGGTCTAAAACATACAAGATGTCTCCTCTCCAGTCATTAACTTGACATAATTGTAACAAGAAAAAGGAGTAATACGTGGTTATTACAGCCTCCCAAAGAGAGACGAACTGATTAGCTCCTAAAGGAGGTAAACATTACATAAGGTACTCTGAAGTCAGGGGAAGGGAGGGAGGAAACTCTTTGAAGGCTTTGATTTAAAATGGCCGTCAAGGCCAAAAAGACCAACGGTTTTAAAAAGGACTACCATGTCTCTACCATAAGGGCCAGACTCCAATCCATCAAACAAGTTAAAAACATCTTGAACTTATAAACTCAGGAAACCATTCCCAAGGCGGTGTTTGTGTTGTGTGTGATTAGTTTGCGAGAGAGCTGAGCCCTTCCTTTGTAATTGGAATGTTATGCAGGCTAGGCACTAATAAAAACAGTTATAAAACAAAACTCAGTCAGCATTCCTCTAGCTGTTTGTTTGTTGGTGGGCGGTCATGGCCTGGTGTTTTTACTGCTTACAGAGCTATTAAAGTGACTACGGGTGTTAACCTGCACACCTCAGTGCTCACAGTGTTTCCTGAAGAGGAGAGTAGAATGCAGGGTAGAATAGTGTGTGTGTGTGCGCGAGCATGCATGTGATTGTCGATGTAAGTGTCTGTGTTTCTGGGAGGGATGTGGCAAAGGGTGTATACCTGTGTATACCTCTAATGACTATCTGTCCACCCCTCACTGCCTAATTAGGGTGGGGTACTTTTTACGAGGTGTAGGGGTGTGTATGATGATCATCTAAGCATGACATTCAGAGCTTGATAAACTACATTCTGTGGTAAACCTAGCCCAGCAGTGTTAACAATAGTGGCCAGGGTTGGAAACATGGTCTGTGATCTCTGTCACTAAACTAAGCCAAAGCATTGTTCTTGACGATACATGTTCTGTAGATACATAGCACAGGTTTGTACTGTTCTTAGAAGAAGTGGGAGCTCTTTGGGACAAGCACGGAGCTTGTCATTGCCTGTGGTGGTTCAAATCAATGGAGTAAGGGAAAGAGATGGATGGTGTGCCTTCATAAACCCTTAATATATATTTAAAATCTTCTGAAATCATTCATAAGCAAATTGAATTTAGAATCTCAATGTATCTCCTGAATTGACCCCATTGAACCCTGACAGTGTCATATCAACAAAGGCAAAATAAGTCAAGGGTCAAATAGAGTGATGTCACCCACCTCTTTTAGGAATGTCCTCTGTGTCTCGTCATCGAAACGAATCAACTCCTTCATCACCATCACCTCCCCTGTCTCTCTGTGGGTCACCTGCAGAAACACACACACTGTGATGTCATCAGCCTGTTGTCATCAGCCTGTGCCACAGGGCATGGGGGCATTTTCCGTTCAAAGCTCATTTCACCCCAACAGGTAAAGTCTGGGAATCTGAGAACTGTTAAGGAATAAAAACCCTGGATATATGTTGTCCCCCTCTCAAAGCGGATATTTGCTCCCTGCTTGAGTGCATCTTCCAAGCAGCAGATGCACACATATAGGCTACTGTACATTCTGGTTACATCCGAGGCCATTCAGTAAAGCATCTCAATGCTGCCATCTTCTGGAACTTTTGAACACAGTATATATTATGCTCCTACGCAGTAACATTTGACACACATTCAGTAGTGTGAAGTGGGATTTTTAAGGTGTTGGAACTGTCCCCCAAAATTAGTTGCTTTTCCATGGTCATCTTTAACAGAGAGGACAGTTGAACAGACAATGGCCACGTCATACCCAAGTCATCAGTCAACAAATGAAAACCAGAGTGTGTGGAGGTTGGTGTTTACCTTGATGGCCTGTCCAAAGCAGCCTTTTCCCAGCACCTCTCCATGGATGAGGTCTGAGGGCCGGAAGATCCGGTGCATGCGACTGTTGGAGACGACTCGCAGCGACTCGGAGCGGTTAATGTCCTTCCTCTGAGAGAGAGGGGACACTGCATTACTGGAGCACGGAGACTTATCAGTACTGTAGCTCCGCCTGGAGAGAGAGGGGGGAGAGGAGGAGAGAGCGAGGGGAGAGAGTAGAGAGACGGAGACAGAGAAAGAGAGAGGGCGAGAGAGATAAAAGAAGAGAGAGGGAGTGAGAGGTGGAGAGAAGGAAAAAAAGAGAAAGATGGAACAGGTGGAGGAGACAAATGGTGCTGCGAGCCCTGTCATAAGGCACCAGTCTAGCAGCTATTACCATTATAGACTAATTAGGAAATGGGAGCGACAGAGGGACTGCAGTTACACATGTAAATGCTCATCCATTTCACTGAAGAACTGAAATAATGTAATATATGTCAGCCCACGTATTTGCACCAATAAAATGTAATTAATGTAGGCCAATTATATAATTTATGTCTAAAATGTGTTTAGTACATTTATTTATGTATACATTTCATTTAGTTGAAGATTTCATATAAATCTGTATTTTGTCGCGTAATTCTTTCATTTTCGATTCTATTCATACTGTATTTGAGGTTGAAATAAACCAAAACACCACGACTACAACAGCCTGTATTTGTGCGTCTGTAAATGTCACTGAGATTAGTCCTTACGTGATCAGGCGTGAGCGCAGGTTGTTGATGTCTGGGTGTGGGGGCTGGGTGATGGGGAGGATGGGGCTGGGACCGTCAGACAGGGGGGTGGTCAGGGGTCCGCCCACTGTCTCACCCTCTGAACCCCCCTGGTCGTGGGGGTCGTGTTCTATGGTCAGCTGGAGCAGACGACTGGTCTCCTGGATGAGCAGGTCAATCTGGTGGAGCGGAGGTAAAAGATGATGTGCCCTTGAGCAAGGCACTTAACCCTAATTGCTCCTGTAAGTCGCTCTGGATAAGAGCGTCTGCTAAATGATTAAAATGTAAAATGTAATGATCAGTGTAGCATTAGCATGTAGCATAACATATAGAACCTAGCATAGCATATAGCATGTAGTATGGCTAAGAGTGTTGATGTTTTCACCCTAGTGTCTATCAACTCCATGCTATGATGCAGTAGATTAAACATGAGTAAGGACTTAAACTTGGATCTTGTAACATCAAGCCTCGAATTTAATTAACATCTCACTAATACCAATGTCATTGATGTCTATCAGCAACACAAGTAAAGAGATGTCAGTTAGGTTACCTCATCGAGAGGAACATTCCTGATGGGTGTTCCGTTGATCTCCAGGATCCGGTCTCCGACATGTATGGAGTTCTTCACATCTGGACTGATCAACTCAGAGTCCACCCTGGACAAGGAATGTGATAACAGTGATAATTTAACCTCGATATCCATCTTTCTCCCATTCCAAGTGATTACATCATAAGTCTCGGAAGTATGACAACGTGAGACTTTAGAAAATCTAGCATGTACAGAATGGTATCCTGGTCCACTGGAAAGATAAAAGACAGGACAGTGTACATACTGCTAGATCCTTTCCATCCCTTTTGTTGTACAAGGACATGGTTATAGTATTTAATCTACACTGGATTTAAATAACAATGTCCTCACCTTCCCTCACTTCCATTCTGTGCCTTTCTCTGACTTCCATGTCTCCCGTTCAGTCATCTCCCATCCTTCTGTTAGCCTACCGATCCATCCCCCTCTCCCTCCCCATCCATCCCCATCTCCCTCTCCCACTCCATCCCCCCTCCCTCCCCCACTCTATCGCTCCCTTGGTGTATTTATTACAATTCTAGTCAATAGTTAATTAAACCAGGAAGTCCCACTGAGATAAGGAATAATATTTTCCATCTCTCTCTCTCTCTCTCTCTCTCTCTCTCTCTCTCTCTCTCTCTCTCCCTCCCTCTCTCTCCCTATCCCTCCATATCTCAACCCTCCATCACTCCTATCCCCCCACCCTTCCTCTATACTCACTGTGATACCCTGACAGTGTGTTCTGGGCCATAGCCGTTGGGGCTGAGAGGCTGGTTGATGGCGACTGAGATCCCTCTCCGCCCGTCTGTGGAGGCTGGGATGGACACCAGGGTCACTGTGTGGGGGATCCTGGCGCATGGTGAGTCTGGCAGGGACACCGGCGTCAAGATGGTCTGGTAGTAACAGTGGCCACTGCGGAAGGAGAAGGGGGAGAGGTCAGCATAGATAGAACAGACAAGTGAACGAATATCCGTAAAGCAATATTAATACAGAGAAATAGGAATGCAAATTTAATTTGTTCTTACACAATGTCATGTACGCATATCACACTTTTTATTTTGGACATAAGTGACAATTTACATTTTTGTGTGCATCACCTGATAGAATGAAATAATATTCTAACATCATGCCAGAATGTCAAGTGTCAGAATAATGATCTAGTCAACCTCCCATCACACACACACTGACACTTCCATTCAGAGCTGACAGGACAATGACTGCTTTGTATTTCAACATCCCTTCCTCCCTCCTCGTGTCAGTGTGTGTGTCATACAGTACACTCTTCCTCACCTCACGTCCGTTGCTTCTCTATCCACTACTACCGTTATTTCCACATTTCTATTTCTGCTTTAGGCTACAGTGGTCACGCTGCACAGCACTGGTGTTACTGTAATAACTTCACATTCTGATCAATTTACAACCTCTCGTCTCGATGATAAATAATGACCTTCCCTTGAGTCTGCTGAATCTCTAAACCCTACTCCCTATTAGCACTGACTGAAATGTATAAAGACCGTTTTATAAATAAAGTTTTTATGATCATTATAATGTACCAGTATAGTTTGGACCTCTCCACCAGTGCGTAGGTGTCTCCGTCTCCGATGAAGGCTCTGCAGTTCAGACAGGTGAAGCATTCTGGATGGTACTTCTGTTCCCCTGCGACCTGGAAGACACACGCAGAGGGAGGGTTAGCTTGGATTCCTAGGTAGGGTTAAGAGTCAGCTAAATAACAACAACTTTTGTTTCAACCTTTTATTCAACCTTAATTTCAGCAGGTCGGTCAATTGCGAACCAAATTATTCTCTTGCAATGACCACCTGTCTGACCAAGGGGGAAAAGCAAGGCAAAGAGAAATCTACAAAACACAATGATAGGTCAAACGTTAAACAAAGCATAGAGAATGTCCACTACAAGACCACTACAAGACCACTACAAGACCACTACAAGTCCACTACAAGTCCACTACAAGTCCACTACAAGTCCACTACAAGACCACTACAAGACCACTACAAGTCCACTACAAGTCCACTACAAGTTCACTACAAGACCACTACAAGACCACTACAAGTCCACTACAAGTTCACTACAAGTTCACTACTTGTTCAGGTCAGTAGATGCATCACATCACAAAAACAGCAACAAACGGAGCAACAAACTAGGGTAGATGCATGTTAACCAGTGCAGGTAGGGCTAGATTGCTGTGGCTGATATCATCTTTATTAGCGTCAGGCTGGTTTCTATCTAGCTCTATCCAATCACTGACAGAAGCATAGAATTGGTCTAAAATGGTCCCACTTGAGAAAGCTTTTGGCACAGGGTTTACTGGTAATCGATTGAAAGATGTAAGATTTCCACTAGAGGCTGATTTACACATGGAATGCTAATCTATATATAGAATCTCCCCAGGTAAAATGACCTTAAATGCAAATGACAGGGCTGGACAGGGCTAAGCAGGGCTTTACTTAAACAAGAAACTGGTGACCTCGTAGCTCCTCAGAGACAGTTTGGTTGAAGACCTTCTGATCAGACCTCTCTATCGTCCCCCCCCCCCCCCCCCCCCCCCCCCCTCTCTCTATCTATCTAGCTCTCTTCTCTCTCACACACACTATCGCTCTCTTTCTTACCCCTTTCCTTCTCTCCCCCTCCCTCTCTCTTCCTCTCTCTCTCATTTTCTGCTCTGATCAGCAGAGGGTTGGGTTTGAGGTGGGTGTGGTAGGCACTCAAGAGCTGCAATAATCTGCAATTCAAATTTCACTTAGGGGGAGTTTTCAGTTTTCAGGGATGTGAGAGATGGGGGAAAAAATAATTTAAAAAATGTATGGAGCGATTCTTCAAAGACACTATTAAGGAAACTTTAAAAGAATACTGCTCTTATGAGTTTGGAAAATACCCCCCTGCTGAGCCCTTCTCGAGGCTTCCACTACTGCAAGCCTCATAAAAATGTACATGTGGCACTAGCAATTCCCTTTAAGAGTGGCACAGTGTTTTTAAATGGTCGATAATATAGATAAAACAAGGTTCAGGGATTTTTTTAAACAAAAAAATCAGGCTGATCAATAAAATCAACCTCTACAGCCCTATGTCTGCCCTGCCCCCCAGGGAGTGTTCCCATGGAAACCAGAGAACCCACAGAGAGAGTACCCTCAGGCTGCTTGGAGGAAGTCAGTGGTACAAATTCATGAATTAATCAATAATAACTCATTAACACGGGCAGCTCATCCTTGCCACAGGAAAAGCTATGTCTGACTGTCTGAGCATCTACTGATGCAGAAAGGAAGGGAGAGAGAGAGATACAGTGAAAGAAAATAAAATGAAAAAGGAAAGAAAGAAAGAAAATAAAAAAAGAATGAGAGAGAGAGAAATGGGTTGACTCCCTGACCTAAGTTTGTACCTTTTGAATCCTGGTTGTTCATGTTAACAACAGAGCAGAGGGACTCAGATAGTGAATGAGAAGAGAGAGAGGAGAGAAGGTAATGACTGTGTAATTGGCTTCCATTAGAGCTCTGGAACAGATGGAACACAGAATGAGTTGGTAAAGAAAAGCAGCCTCAGGGGCTTGGTGAGTCACAGTCACTGTATTTTGGAGTAGAGTAGAGTAGGGAGGGTAAAACATTGGCTGTAAACATTGATAAGTGGCTGACATCTTTATGTCAGTTATGATCACAGTGTGTGTAAACACCACATCACAGGGACTCAGAGGGATGGAAATGAAATTATAATGATAGATACATTCGAGCGTGTGCCGTGTTGAGTTTAAAGTACAATGAATGATGAAAGATAGGAGTCAAAATTTATTTTAGTTGATGATGAATAAGCATACGCTGTGATGTCAATCAATCAATCAATCAATTTTATTTTATATAGCCCTTCTTACATCAGCTAATATCTCGAAGTGCTGTACAGAAACCCAGCCTAAAACCCCAAACAGCTAGTAATGCAGGTGTAGAAGCACGGTGGCTAGGAAAAACTCCCTAGAAAGGCGAAAACCTAGGAAGAAACCTAGAGAGGAACCAGGCTATGAGGGGTGGCCAGTCCTCTTCTGGCTGTGCCGGGTGGAGATTATAACAGAACCATGCCAAGATGTTCAAAAATGTTCATAAGTGACAAGCATGGTCAAATAATAATCAGGAATAAATCTCAGTTGGCTTTTCATAGCCGATCATTAAGAGTTGAAAACAGCAGGTCTGGGACAGGTAGGGGTTCCATAACCGCAGGCAGAACAGTTGAAACTGGAATAGCAGCAAGGCCAGGCGGACTGGGGACAGCAAGGAGTCACCACGGCCGGTAGTCCCGACGTATGGTCCTAGGGCTCAGGTTCTCAGAGAGAAAGAGAGAACGAGAGAATTAGAGAGAGCATACTTAAATTCACACAGGACACTGGATAAGACAGGAGAAGTACTCCAGGTATAACCAACTAACCCCAGCCCCCCGACACATAAACTACTGCAGCATAAATACTGGAGGCTGAGACAGGAGCGGTCCGGAGACACTGTGGCCCCATCCGAAGAAACCCCCGGACAGGGCCAAACAGGAAGGATATAACCCCACCCACTCCGCCAAAGCACAGCCCCCGCACCACTAGAGGGATATCCCCAACCACCAACTTACAATCCTGAGACAAGGCCGAGTATAGCCCACAGAGGTCTCCACCACAGCACAAACCAAGGGGGGGGGCGCCAACCCAGACAGGAAGATCACGTCAGTAACTCAACCCACTCAAGTGACGCACCCCTCCCAGGGACGGCATGAAAGAGCACCAGCAAGCCAGTGACTCAGCCCCTGCAACAGGGTTAGAGGCAGAGAACCCCAGTGGAGAGGGGAACCGGCCCGGCAGAGACAGCAAGGGCTGTTCGTTGCTCCAGCCTTTCCGTTCACCTTCACACTCCTGGGCCAGACTACACTCAATCATATGACCTACTGAAGAGATAAGTCTTCAGTAAAGACTTAAAGGTTGAGACCGAGTCTGCGTCTCTCACATGGGTAGGCAGACTGTTCCATAAAAATGGAGATCTATAGGAGAAAGCCCTGCCTCCCGCATGTCAACCATGCTGTCCTTGTTTAAGGTATGATATAGAGTAAAGTCAAATAGTAGAATATGCATGTGAGCATGTGTGTGAGTGAGTGAGTGTGTGTGTGTGCATGTGTCTGCACAGCAAATTGGCCAGTGTTACCTAGTGTTGATTTTTAATTGTAACATTTCTAGTGGTGATTCAGGTGTTAAATTAACTCTGTAAGTGAACCTCAGTGTTGGTGTTAATAACCAGTGTTAAACCAAAACCACACCCATCATTACCATATTTCCCAGCATGCTCTATTGCAGGTAGATTTTTTGAAATGTTTGTTTCAATATCTATGTTTTTGCATGGACATTGATTGATTGATCTTATGCTACTCAAATTTAAATAACATACATTTTTCTAAACTAATGTAATCTGTTACTTTATTGCACCTGTTATTGAAATGGTTGTTCCAGTTTAGATGGTTTAGGTAGTCTCATATCTTAGTCTTCCCAACCCGGCAGTCATTCTGAATGCAGGTTGCGGCATTCATGTTGGATATTCCCACTCTGGTTGGATTCCAATAGGAATTACACATCACTTTGCAAGCCATCATAATGTGACTTGCAGGCCTGAAAACCCTGAGTTTCAGGCCACTGTATAGGGTAAAACTAGGCCCTCAAAATAAGGCCTTATTAAATACTTGTTGTATTATGTTAAATAATATGACAATATATTCTCTTAGGATCTGAAAATGGATGAATGCAATAACCATGTCTTTGTCATTAACAAATACAGTCATGGGTGTTAACTCTGGGTGATATGCAAATAAGGCTTTACACTAAGCAGTGTGTTAATGTAACACTGAAAAGTGTGGACCCGTATAGACACAAGACCAGTGTTAAATTTAACACTGTCAGTGTTGATTTAACACTGTATAATTGTGTGTGTGTGCATATGTGCATGGGTGTGTGTGTGTAGCAGGCAGTGGCCAGTCTCAGGTGTGAGCCCCCGCGTGGAGGAGAGGAAGGACAGCTGGACGTAGAGGAAGAGACAGTGTGACGCCTGCCACACACTGACACTGTGGCCGCTGCCATTTGTCGACCCCAGCCCCCCCCCCCCCCCCCCCCCCTTTCCTACACACAAACACATCTCTCCAACCACATCTGACAACAGACAGCTGCTGCTGCACACGCACAAATAAAAAACAGAGCAGAAAGAGAGAGAGAGAGAGAGAAAGAAAGAAAGTAAAGTGAGCGAGAGAGAAAGAAAAGATAGATAGAGAAGCTAACAATAGCCCTGTACGTCTCTCATGGGTGGAAAGTTCTATTACCTTTCTCTCACTGCTAATTTAGTTAGTTTCATTCTGAGTAATTGTGAATGAACTATGTGGCATGAGACCATCTGATATGGAAATTCCAAGAAACCTTCCCAAAACGTTGGTTAAAAATCTTCCATTTACAAATGAGCGGGGATAACTGACAGCACATACTGTATCTACCCACAGCTGGTCTCTTTCTCCCCCCTCCCCCCTCTGCGTATGTGTATGTAAGAGAGAAGTGTGGCTTGGTCATGTGGCGCACACAGGACCTCTGTGACAACAATCCAAATCATCAGCACGTTTCCTTTGGGAAGAGTGAGGGGGGCGGACAGTACCCAGGAAGAACTGGGTCGGGTCGCCATGGAGAAGCATCTGGAAACAGTGTGTGGAGCTGTTACCATGGTGAGCTGGAGGGAGGCGGTCACATATTAAGCATGATCCTATAATGAACACTGACTGCACCAGCTGGGGACTTGTGATGAAGATACAGTGGTGAGAAATGCAACTCATCTCGAAATAGAAAGCAGGAATAAAAAATGTGCTTTGTCCAATAACTCATCTCTGTTTTTCCTCTTTCTACACTGTAAACCAAATCATTGCAAATAAATAGTAACAAATTCATTGAGGCCTCTCTCAAAGCACAAGTGATAATGCAAATGAGTTTGCACTAGCGTAATAAACTGAGTTCTGTTTCACAAGAATTAGGAAATACCCCTGGTGATATTATGATGAGAAGCTGCCATTTCAGTACTTAAATGTGTCATTCAAGTTTCAACTTTAAGAGTTTGACGACCCAAACATAATTATGATAAATTGGGAGGCTAATCCGTTTAGTGGTGTGTGCTTGTTTTCAGACAGCCTGCGGAATGTGTATGGCCCCTGTTGGACCAATCAGAGGTATTTATGACCCTCTGGTGTCACTACCATACTCTCAGGTTCTCTAGTGTAAACAACAGATGGGGGGGTTGGCAGGGATTTAGGGAAGTTAGGGATTCTCCATATTGAGTTCAGGCCATTTTCAGTTCCCAAAACTATTGCATCTTAGTTTTTTTTAAAAAATTAATTCTAAAAAGTTGAGTCCAACCATGTAAACTAGGTGAATTGGAGCCAATGCTACAGTATATTCTAATATCCATACTAGCATACCACTTAGAATGCTTGCCCATTGCCCACTACATTGTTTACTAGTGTGGTGGATACTGGAACTTTAGCCGGTTGTTTACTTTTGTTTCCTGTATGGACTTCCAGTTATACTGATGCATTGTGGGCCTGTAAAGGGTCTTGCCGATATAGTGATATGGACCATGTGTGGAGAGTCATGGGGACTATAAACACTAGCAACATAGGGTAT